GCAGCGAACTCGAATTAAAGGGACCGACGGGGGCCAGAGCCGGCGAGGTGTGTCGCTCGCCGGCGCCACCGAGCTGGCCACCGGGTTATACCCCCGTGTCCCCGACCCCTACCACAAAGAAAACACCCCATTCTTTGGCAGAACGTAGGTTACCCACCAGAACTCCGTGCAGAACTCAACTAGGTGCTGCCTGTGCCGGGAGAGGTGGAGAGTGCAGAAGTTAAGGAGCTCTGGAGAGGTTCTTGCCAACATAATGAAGTAGGCAAGATGAACCGATCAATACTAACTATCCCAGGCCCGAGGCGGGATTCAGCCCCGCGGGAGATGTGTTGCTATTATTAAGATGTTGGCAGACAGAATTTGAAGACCCCAGGGCCGCCCCCCCACCCTCCGCGCCCCCTGACCTCCTGCTTCTGAATCCCCCTCCTATAGCCCTGAGCCCCACCTTGATCTTAATCAGCACAGCTTTGGCTTCTCAGGGCAATGCAGCAGGTGAGGGCCTGGCTGCAGTGTGGTAGAACCTTTGCCCCCCCAAACCGGGTGGGGGTTGGGAGAACAGCAGGAGCAACTGAACTGAGGGGCCAGCCTCTTTCCTTTCTGATTTCCTTTCCCTAGGGCTCTGGACAGGGAAGGCTGGGGGACACACAGTTGACCTTGGGAGGGGTCAGCTCCTTGCAAATGCCCTCTCACAGATCTGACAACACGAGCTGACCCACGTTATAATCTGTATTTGGGGCTGCAGCTCACCGTATCCTGGTGTGGGTAGAGCAGGATACTCTCTGTCTCTGAAAGAATTTATGTAGGAAGTCTGTGGTTTAGTTGGGGATGGCGGTGTTTTGTGAGTCCAGGTAGGTTTAGAAGTCATGCAAACGCTCCAAGACTTCACTAGATTAGTTCTGCAGGCCCCTGTCTACATCGGTGCTCCTCAGAGGGAGGGATTGAGATGGGCCACAGAATCCTGGTGTTCAGAAGACTCGAGTGTGGTTAAGACTCTTCCTGGGCCCTCTCTGCTAAGACAACCCTTTCTATGAGAGTACCTGAAGTTTTGAAAGCCTGCCTCCCTGCAAGGGAAGGGTCTGAGGGATGTGGCCAGTCCCCAGTGGTAGTCTGTAGAGTGGGTTTTAAGATTGGGACCCTACCGAGAGCTGCATGGAGTACCCTGAGAAGACTTAGAGGGTAACTGATGACTGTTGAGACGGTACTAGTTTGCCTTTGACTCCTGAAAGATGGTCTGTCACTGAAGGATCCAGAATCTGGCCTGGGTGTTTGGCCTGCCAACTTCAAACTTTAATCTCTGCCAGTTATTGGATAAGTAAATCTACTACAGAAGTGGCAACCTCTCAGTGTTAAATTGTGTATGAAGAGTTTAGCGTCCAAAATTCACGTAGTAAACAACGATTTGTAATGTTCTGCCCACTCTCCTCAGATCTCCAGCCTTCAGTTTGTTTCTTCTACCTAGCCACTGGTGTGTGTGTCTCCTGTTCTTCCTGCTTCCCATGGTCTCAGCTATGCAGCAAAAACATTCTCTACCACTCTGCTATGGACTCCTTCTGGAAAATTCCCCCGAGGGTTTCTGTTTCTAATATTTGTCATGCTTATGTCCACTGGAGAGTGTGCATATATTTTCATTGCTTTACTGTAGAGCAAAAGGTGTGGATAGCAGAAAAACCCTTGTGGGAGAATTAATAATAATAATAATAATAATAATCTTAACTGCTGGCTTGTGCTTACCATGTGGCCAGCGCTATGCTAAGACCCCTGGACCCACAACACTCAGTTCTCAGTCTTCTGACTTGTCTGTCAGTGCCATCTATTGGGAAGGCAATAAAGGCAGAGGGAGAGGAAAGTGACCTGCATGAGGTCAAGAAATGGTGACTCTGGGTCTTTAATCAGATCTTTCTCCGGATCCAGATTCCCCACAGGGTGTGTGCATGTGTGCATGTGTGCCAAGTATGTCTGAATTTCATTTCCCTTTGGGAATTTCCTCTGGCCCCTGCTATTGTCCCATCATTTGGCACTCCCCTTTTCCCTTCCCTTTAAAATCTGTTCTAAGTGTGAATGACAATGAGGAATAAAACTGCTAATGAAGGAAAAGAAGAAAAGGCTATGACAATAGTTCTTGCTCTGAAAGGTAGCTCTCTGGGTATGTTTGACAGCGTCAGGGCTGGGGAGGAAACAGTAGGAAAGAGCACTGGTTCAAATCCAAACACAGGCACTTGTTAGCTGTGAGAACTTGAGCAATTATTAAAAATCTTTGTGCTTCAGTCTACTAATCTGCCCAACAGGGAAGTAAAGCCCCTTTGCAGTGTAGGACTGGATATAAGGAGGGTACAGCTAACCAGCTTCATGGGTAAACTAAGTCAAAAGGGCTTGGATCATCAAGTTCCCTTTCCAGATCTCCAGTTCCAAAGGGACAACTAGCTTGTCCTTTGTTCCTTTTCCTTGGTGAGACTCCCTCCATCCCCCATCCCTCTCCCCCTTCCCTTCTTCCCACAGTGACTTCTCCTTTTCCTTCTGCTTAGTTTCCTGCTTGGTCTTTAGGGAAAGGCTGTGGTGACCACTGCAGGGAGTGGCAAGCAACTCTAGTCATGAAAAAAAGGGTTTATTTAGATAAATATTGAATAATCACACTAAGTATCAGAATCATTGTGCAGCTCCATTTATATAGGATTCTAGAAGATGCAAAACACTGATCTTCAAAGACAGGAAGCAAGCAGGTCAGTAGATGCATGGATGGAAGTGCTGGGAAGGGACCGGGAGATATGCAGCCAGTGATTTCTTTGTGGAGGCTAAGGGCTATGTTTATTATCTTGTGTTGACAGTTTTGCAGGCTTATGCCTGTATCAAAATGTCTCAAATTTTATATTTTAAGCAATACAATTTATTGTACATAAAGCATACAACAATAAAGTACTAAAACTCAGAAATAGAAAAGAAGGGTTTCCAATCCCAGTCCCTCCCACCACCATTTAGGGGCCCAGAAAGTTTCCCTGATTGTACTGGGGTCACCTTGCTAGTATGGGCAGCACCTCTTCTTGGTGCTGTACCGGCTGTGTGCTGGCACAGGCAGGCAGGGCAGGGGGGGATTGTGGGTATGTGATCTAATGCCTATAGTCAGGCTTAGGGAAAGATGTGACTGACTGTTTTACAGAGAAAGACACTGAAGATCGGAGAGGACCAGACACTGGCCAGGGTAAGCTAGCTGGTAAGTGGTATGGTTGGGACCAAACTCAAGATGGCATGAGTCCACAAGTTGCCATGTCATTCTGCCAACGGGATAACAGGTTTCACCATTTAGGATGTGGATTCAGACCATCAGAAACCCCCGAAGGCACATCCTCTTATCCTGAGGAGGGACAGTGACCTGGCAGGAAGGTTGCTCTAGAAAGGGATTGATGTCAATGGTTAACTGGCCACAAGTTAACTCTGGGACTGGAAACAGTGGTGTGAGCTTCCAGACTCTAATCCTTGTTTGCCTGTTCCAGCAAAGGCTCGGGGAATGCTTCTCATATTTGCACAGCCTTAGAGCCCTGCTCAGCAGAGGACCAGACGACATCTGGTTTCAGTCTTGGTGCGCAGAGCTGTGTGGTCCATGGATATGCGCTTGACCTTTCTTTTCAGGAGTTCATTTACAGAATAAGGTATGCAATCTCTCAAGCCCCACCACCTCGTTCACGGGGACGACACGACAGGGCTGGGAGCGGGGGAGGACAAAGGGCAGAAGACTGAAACCTATGTTTACAGTCAGTGCGTGTTGAAATCTCAAAGGATCAAGGAGCTTAAGGAACTTATGAATGGGTTTGGCGAAGTCCACTG